AAAAAAAGAAAAAGAAAAAAAAAACTAGTTAAGATTTGATAGTGGTTGGATGGTGTTGGGCCAGTCTTTACTAGAGCATCAAGTAAACTCTTTTGACTTTCCAACCGTCCGTTTATACAAATTTTTGACCAAAAATAATTGATGATAATAATAAATATAGCAATAAGAGATAGAGAGAGCTCTATTTGATTAATTTTCGGTTTTTCTATTTTTGGGTATCTAAAGTGAGAGTAGTTTTTTTAAGGTTAAACTACTAAGTTTAATTCATAAGTTTCCATGTTCTTTTTTCTTTTTGGTATAATTTCATGATAAACTCTAATATTTAAAAGGTGTCAAATAGATTTTTAAACATTCATTTACGTTTTTGTCATTGAATTTTCAATTTATGTTTAAATGAAAGTTCAAAGATTTATTAGACATTTTTAAAATTCAGAGGCTTATCAAATACAAAATTGAAAGTTTAGACCTCTATAGGGTAACTTTTGTTTTCTATTTTTAAAAATTATACTCGAATATGTTTTTCACCTCCCCTTAGAAACATATTTAAATTATTGGCCAAATTTAAAAGACAAAACGAATTTACCTTAAAGATTTATTAGATACTTTTTAAAATTTAGAGATCTGTTAGACACAAACCTAGAATGCTTCACATGTCATTAATATGGTATTAATTTTTTTTATTTCAAATGAATTAATATGATATTAAATGGAAGATTACTATTTGTAATAGTGCTGAGAACTTGAGAATAGAATGGATGTATGATAAATACATGATTTTGAATGTAGTTCCCAATGGGCACATTCAATTAATTTGTGTTGAGAATAATGGGGTGAAATTGGATTATTTGGACACAGTGGCGTGGCTCATGTTTTGCCAAATTGCTCACCTTTGGGGCCACATGTTTGTTTCTTTGTTTGGACGATTTGGAAATTGGAAATTATTCTTCAGACCCTATTTTTCACTGCGAATCAATTTCTTTTCTACTTGTTTACAACACCCTTTTATTTCTAAGGTTTCTTCCAATCTTCGATTTTGTTGTTTTTTATTTAGGTAGAACTATGAATCTAAGCCATGTCTGAGTTATATTCATTTTTTAATTCTACGTCTCATTGTGAAACGTCTATGAAAAACCAACGTCTTTTAACATAATCTTTAATGCATCTTAGCATCTACGAGAAATTTGAATGGTGTAAAGATTTTTTTTTTCTTTTTTTCATTGTCATGTACATGTTACATTACACGCTATAGTGTGGTGGGGATACCTAACAATAAAAACTCGAGTCTAACTCCTCTTCTTCTTTTATTTTTTCTTTTTGGGTACAAAAGGTTTGATTGAGGACATTGTAGTGAATTTTGAGGAGATATTTAAGAAAAGAAATATTTTGAATGATTTTGAAAGGTGGAAGATTTTGATGGTACATTGTAGAATCTATTGTTTAATCGTTTTTTTAATTATAAAATTAAATAGTTCGCTAATATCAATTTATTTTAACTATAAAATTAAATAATAATTTGAGGAAAGAAAATATATGAGAAAAGAATGAACGACAAAAAAGCCAGGAGAGAAAGTSCTTGAAACCTTTGAAACTCATATTTCAAAAGGACATTGAAAAGAAAGAAAGAACGTCAAAAACATCTTAGAGTCTCTCCATCCTAGGACATCCGAATATCTTGAAATATCAAAGTATCTTACATTTTTATAAAACAAATGTGGAACTAAATATTCGTTCTTTGAAAGTTTTGAATTCTCACAAAATAACCCTAAAGACTAAAGACTGTTTTTATTTCGTTTTTGTCTTTTATATTGAATTGTAATTAACATCGATAAAATTATTTTCTATTTATACTATTATATTACTCTTTCAGTCTTTTAATCCTTACTATAATGCGTCCCATGTATATTTAGGCTATGTTTAATCCTTAGCATGAACAATTTTCATCCACATGGCATATATGATTGCCACAATTAAATCAACTCTTTCAAATGTGACCCCTCCATTATATTTACATTTAAATATTCATCATATATATAATAAAACCCTTTCAAAGCATGTCTATGGTGAGCTTGCATCAACATCATTCAAAAATAATGTGTTGTCTATCAACATTAAAGAATTATTTATGAAGGAAAATTATGGTATGAACGAAAAGAATATGTACTCTCGTAGTACTATAACTTTTTTCAATATCACTACACACTTGACTGCAGTAAGATATCTTTTGTATGATGATGTGATAGGACGACTTACCTCGAACAAGACAACTATGTTTGACCATACACATCAACTTTAAAATTCTACTTAGAACTACATTTTCACAAGCCATATCTTGTCTTTGAACTAGTTTTTAAAAATATCATTTATATAATAATTCATCTGACATGAGATTTTATTTTAACCCTCCTCAAGTTAAAGAAACTTAATAGCACTTATGTAATTGTCAAAACAAATTATAAATTTTGAAAAACTTAAAAGCAACAAATAATTTATTAGGTTGGAAAGGGTAGATTTACAAGTAGCACCCTCTTTAAAAAGAATTAAAAGAGATGATATACATTTTTTTTTATTACAACACGTGTTGTGGGGAATCGAACTCCAATCTCTTAATTGGAAATATATGTCGATTACTGTCGTTAGCTTTGACAGAGAGAGACATATTTTGACTACCTATAGAGTAAACTTTTTCATTAATATCAACGGGAAAATATCAATTACCGCTGAATTATTTATCAACTTAAAACATAGTTTAACTTACTTACCTTCTTAAAAGTTAGAGTTTCAAATTCTCACTTCTAGTTAGAACTCAAAATATATATATACGCTTGACCCTTTTTACCAATTTTACCAAGATGGTAAAACAAAATTGATAGATTTGAATGAAAAACTGCACCATTAGATTATTGTTGAAATTTATGAAATTTAAAAGATTTATTTAATCCTCATTTATACATTAATCAAACTTAATTTATTTTGTGTTCGACACTCAAAGTAATCGAAATTAGAAAGATTTGGAGGGCTTTCATATTATTTTTTCGTTCAAATTCTTGGGTGAATAGAATAGAATTTAAATAGAAGAAAAAATTTCATCGAAAGTTTAGTTAGAAATTGATACTCCTCACCAATTTTAGGGTTTAGGGGTAAAAATTGAATTTTTTCTTTTTCCCCCTATCTTGTTTTTTCAATTTCAGAATTTGCTGATTTCGTTAATTTTTAAGGATAATTGGTGGAGCAAACACCGACGCTGCGCTGTGGAGAAGAAAATAAGAGGCGGTCCGGTGTCGAGCAACTGTTGTGGCGGCCATTGGATTTTGGGAGAATCAGCAGAGAAGAATCAGGAAGACTGAGGAGGAGGGTAGACGAGAGCCAGAGAGGACGAGAGAGATCATGGCGTCCATATGCCTGTTCAGCTCTAAAACCCTAGCGTTACCCTCCGCGGTCTACCTACACATATCTTCATCATCTACAAGCCATAGCTGCTCTTTCGGCAACTGCAGATGCTCTTTCCCATACAAACCAGTTTCCAATTCGCATTTGGTAATTGGTAGAAGGAGAACGGGGAAGCAGGTGGTTCGAATGGCCCCGGATGAAGAGAAGCTTACTCGTCGCAATCCTCTCGATTTCCCAATTGTATATCGTTCGCTCTTGCCCTCGCTTATTCTCATCGCGTGTTTGATTTTTCCGGCTTGTATTGGAGTTATTTTTCATGGGATTTTAGGTTTCTTTGCTTATCACTGACGAAGATTATGCTTTCCGTATTTATGTAGTTTAGCTAGTGTATTGTTAGATCAGTTGGGATAAATAGTTGGAGTGTTCCTGGGCTTTTGATACGTTATTTGTTGTAATTATCTTTGAAGGTTGGTTACAGGACTTGTTGAATTAATTTGCCATGTTTTTCCTGCAAATTGTACATCTCTGTAACGTGGGCTATATCTGTCTTTACACGAGGGGCATCAACCATCATAATGTTGACCTATTGATATTGTCATAGATTTTTTTGTGAGAATAGGCCATAGCGCTGTGGATTCCATAGGCTGCAAATGTTTTGTTAAACCAGATACAGTTTTTAACCTGGATATTCCTGTATGATATCTGTGATAGTTCTTGTTCGTTTGTATTCTTGCACTTGGTTAATGCTTATTGCACTATTGTTGTTAAACTCAGATTGAGAGAAGATATTGGCAGCCCTCACAAATTTTTGTCGAGTAATTTAGTAGTTCATATTGGTACTTTGTCTTTTAAGTCTTGGGGATGTGTAGATTATTATGGTTGCCATCATGACATTCACGCATCATATCTGTCTGTTCTATCTATTTCCTGTTCTGTTACTGGGCTGTTACTTGTAATGCTTTTGGGAAATTAACTTGACATCATTATGTTGTCACAAATTTTCTATGAATTCGTATGTAAGGGTGCCTTTTTGGTGGTAAATTCATTTTCTGATGTGAAATTGTTGATGTTCTTACCTGATGAACTTAGTTAATAAGAAAATTCATGCATTGTGAACCTTTCATCGTGTATGAAGTGCTTGAATAGTTATATCACTGTCTTGAATGCTAACGTACTATTTGGTTGTAGGAATGGGAGAGGCCTAAGCCAGGACGTAGACCAGATATCTTTCCTCAGTTTAGTCCCATGAAAACACCATTGCCACCACCATTGCCATGTGATCCCCCTGAAGAAGATGAGGAGGAAGAAGAGAAGAAAGAGGAAGAAGAGGAAAATCCTGACAAGGAAAATCCAGATGAGCCTGAGTTCCTTGAGTTCCTTTCTCCTTTTCCATCTTCACTCTGTTTTTTGATAGGCTGAAAGCATTAGAAATCCCAAAGTGATGATGAGTTGAGATAGTCCACCATGAACCAACATGTTTGAGAGTTACTACTGATATTGCTATTCTGAATTAAATAAAAAATCTCTCTAGGATTTTTTATTTTCTTGAGTTTTAGTTCTCCATTTTAGGCAATGTATTTTACGAATAAATGATCGTGAATGGTATGTCTTCTCTCCCATTTCCAGTCCCACCGTTTGTTTGGCAAAATTTTATATTTGAGCATTGTTTAAGTTCTAATCTCTAGAAGCTGCAGCAGAATATTGCGAGGGCGTTTGACATTATTATAAGACACAATTATTTTTTCTTTTATTTTTACATTGAATGCAACTCCTTGTTGTTTTCCAAGAATGTGACTGGATGCCATTATTAATCATTAGAGAAAAGCCTTTCCTCCTCTTAAAGGCCCGTTGTCATTAGTAAACAATAGTTGATTGCGTAATATGAGAATTAGTATAAAATTTCTATTGTGCATGCTTACAGAATCAGGTATTCTGATCAACTCTTTTTGCACTCTGAATCTTTTTTTTTTTCCTAACAAATGGGGTCGGATTTATGTAGCCTTTGACTTTATTAGATAACCACTTTCGATATAGTATATAGTGGTTCTCACTTTGCAGAATGCACAATGGAAGTAGTACTCGAAAATTCCCAACTTTAAAAATTCGTTGGTTGCAAACTAACTTGTTGGAGGATTTTAGTCAAACTTGTGTTCCTCGCCAGAAATACTGAAAGTGCGCAGGTCCCAGTGTCAGCTGTTGATGATTTGCAGCTTCTACTACGTACTGCCTCTCTCACTTTCTATCGGTTGAAGAATCCATCTACAGAGCATCTGCTTTGGCTTCCTCTCTCAGTCAACTCAATGGTATGTACGATCAACTTCAACTTTCTTGATTCTTCAATTTCAATTTCTCTATTTGATTACAACAGAAGGTAGATATCTGATATTCAATACTTGGGTTAGTATTTTTGTATCCTTAAAACCTTGTCTTTTATCTTTTTTGGTCGCAGAATCTTACTCCATTCCTGTTCAGATCACTGGTAAGGCTTCTACTGTCCCTGATTGTCCAGCCTGCAGCCTGTGTCTCGACCTTGCTTTTTTACAGCAACATTCTTCCTCAGCATATGGTTTCGGAGAGATTGGTTCGGCACGAATTGCTGGATCGAGAAAACTATCTATTCCACTTTCTGGTCAACCTTTTGAAGTGTTTCTGGTGAAAAGAAGATGAAAAGAGAGAGAAGGAGAAAAGGGCACATCTTTTTCAGAGACCCATCTCTCTATTTTTCCCCCTTGGAGTCTATCCGGCTCTTCTGATGCCATTGGGAGAGCAGTATTTTGAAGGTTACATTTCGAAAGATAATTTTATTAAGATTACCATTATCATAAACTAGTTTGATTGTGACTTAAAACTACAATGAAACGACATATTATGTGCTTGTTGCTTTCTTTATGGTCACTTGGTTAATGCGTCTCTCTTGTTCGTAAGTTCTTTAGTGCTGTGTCCACTCTCGATCGCATGTCTAATTGTCCAATCTCAGATTTATTGAAATTAATGGCTTTACACTTTTTGATCAATCTTTTGATAATCTTTTAGGCTTCTTCCTCAGTCGCCATTATTATGTCACGCACATGTTTAGCCACTGTCTCTCGTCTTTCAAAGCGAGATGAATATTCAGAAACAAGTGAACTGTAAATATGCAAAATCAAAGCTCTGCTGACTTCTGTTGAGTCCATTTCCACCAAACCATTTTTTTTTTTTTTTGTGAAATGAATTGTAAACCATAGAATATGGTGGCCTCGGCCTTGTGCTCCGATTGATGACCAAAATCCTCATTGTTTGTTATAATTTATGACACTGACATTATCATTAATTTCCACAATTGTTTTTTTTTTTAATTTCTTTGGAAAGGGAACCATTTCAAATCATTTATTGGATAAATTCAGCGGTTGGTCGGTTGTTCTTATGCTGAGGTGGACACGCATGCTCCACTCTTTGTGTCTTCCACTCTTTGTTTTATTTCAGAGAACCCATCCATTACCCATTTTAATATTAATTTCTTCCATTATTTTTATAAAGGTTGCCTCCCTCACCTCCGAATAAAGCCATTTCTTTTGTTTTTAAAAAATTTTATTTGTTTGTTTAGATAAATAATATGTTCTGAGTTCGAATACGAATGTGTTGGAGTCAAACATGGCTCATACGAAATGCAACCATGTGCAAGTGTTCCATGTTGTTTTGTTACGATATAAAGTTGAAATATTACGTGTCTGGTAATAAATTATTACATACAAAACTCAAAAGTAAAAAGAAATAATTATTTATAAGTTGCAAAGCGAGCCCAACTCAACGGTAATTGATCCCCTCCCCAATATGTTATTCTAATTAATATATATATATATATTGGCAATACAAATAAAAATCGGTTATTTTAAGGTTAAATATAAGTTTTAGTTTTTAACATTGAGAATTTTTGTAATTTAATTCTTATTGTTTTTAAAGTTTTAATTTAGCCTTTACGTTTTAATATTTTTAATTTCATTTATTACTATGTTTTTTAATGTAACAAATGTGGGATGAGAGATCGAGCTAAGCTCATATCGCAGTTAATTTTATCATTGTGATAAATGTTAAAATTGGTTGATGACAAAGTAAAATAGCATAATACTAAAAAAAACAAATTAACCGATAAAGAGAAACATCAACGACTAAAGTTTCTAATTCCTCCTCTAATTTTCTTAGAATTTGGTAAAAATTTTGAGTTTTCTTTCCTTAATAACCTTTTTCATTTTCTAAATTTCCACCGGTTTACTGAATATTATGACTAGTAGATTTATTATCCACCAATTTAAATATTCACTTATACTAAGAGACTAAACTGAAAAAAAATATATCAAAACATCAGGAACTA